CCGAGCCATAATCTAGGAATCTTAAGGAAACTAACCTTATACAGTATTATTGTCACGTTCTGTCATGTTGAATTTATATTATTGCTTGTTTATAGATTTTCCTGCATTTTTGAAATCTTTATATTTGGCTATATGTAGTTTTCTCATTTATAGTTGATAAAATATATTATTAGTCTATTCTGAGTGATAGGCTTTCCTAAAAGAGATAGTGTCTTAGGTTTTATTCCTTAGAGTCTGGTATGGTGCCTGGTATACAGTAGGCACTTACTATATGTGTGTTGGAATAAATGAGTGATTTTTTTTTTTTTGCGGTTTTTGGCCAGGGCTGGGTTTGAACCCGGCACCTCCAGCATATGGGGCTGGTGCCCTACTCCTTTGAGCCACAGGCGCCTACTTAATGTTATTTTTATTTAAAACACCATTCTAGGAATATATCCTGTTATAACACTGAAGGCTGTCTCTCAAAGGAAAGTGGAACTGTGTATCAGTTAGTTACCTCTTCCTTTTCGTTACACAGGGGGCACAGTTTCTAACAGAACTTGCACCTCTGTGTAAGATTTACTGCTCAGATGGAGAAGAATATACCGTATCTAGGTGAGTAACTTTCTAGCTACCAATTTAGGAGAAACAAGGGAAGTAATATTTTTCTTAAAAATAATTTTTTTTAAATAGTTGTGTTAGAGGACGGCTGATGGAAGTGAATGAAAACATTCTCCATAAGCCATCTATTCTCCAAGAAAAGGTAAAAAAGAGAGAAAATCTATGATCCCATCCACATACCTTTCATTGGACTTTTTTATCATTTGACAATGCTAAATATTTGGTTTCTTTTCCAGCCATCTACAGAAGGCTACATTGCAGTTGTGTTACCCAAATTTGAAGAAAGTAAAAGCATAACAGAAGGTTTACTGACACAAAAAGAATATGAAGAAGTAGTGGTAAAACGCATTAATGCCACAACAGCTACGGCATGAGGATTGAGATGGATTAAAAAGGAAAGCAGGATTGGTATCCTTACCTGGTCCAAACCATCAGTGCACTAAATGAGAACATCCAGTGTGTGGCCTATTACACCCAGCGGTGCAGAGGAGAGGACTAATCCTCCTTCCCTTAACCTGGCTTTCCTTCTTTGTCTTGCTCAGTGAGCCTGGGTTCTCCTTTGTCCTCAGCCTCCCAGATCTGCCCGACCTGTGCACTCACTTTTTCTCTTGCTTCTTCCTAACAACTGCCACACCAGGAATGTTTTCCTGATTAAAAGCAAACAAAGCTATTTGAGGAAAACCTATAAAATACAGAAAAGTTTTAAGTAGCCAACTAGAAGTAATTGACCCTTGATGGTTTAATTGCTGTGTCTATATTTAAAAATCAAAAATTATTTCTTTTTCCTAAAAGATGTCATTTACTGTACATACTCTGACACACTTTTACTGTAGGAAAAAAAATATGCTACTAACAATTGTTTTTTCCAAAGAAGTATTTTTTGAAAGTTAGAATTTTCCTTATGAATGCATGAGCTTATGAGCCTATTTAAAATTGAGAAATAAATACATATAAACTTAACAATAATAAAATAAATAAAAGTAATTTGACCAATTATCCTAGAACCTGAAAATACAGTTGACCCTTTAACAATAGGGGTTTATACTGCATGGGTCCACCTATATGTGCATTTTTTTCAACCAAATGCACATCAAAAATATATCTATATAGTATTTGCTGGATATGAAACCCACATATAGAGCAGGCCAATCCACAGAGCTGATTGCAGGTCTTGAGTATGTGCAGATTTGGGTATACACAGAAGGCCCTGGATCTGACTGATCCCTTGCATATGCCAAGAGATGACTGTACTACATTTTGACATGCTTTCATTTGAAGGTTGTGGTATGGTTACTGTTTTAACTCAATTTTCTATCAAAGTTGAAAGAAAACCTAACTGGCCATTCTTAGCCAATCTGCCTCCGTGTAACACTACCAAGAAGTCAAAGCCTACCCTTTCTGCCTCAGGTCCTCTCCCATTAGGTTGGAGGAAAGTGACGAGTGCGGAGTGTACCTTTTCTCTTCATTATGCTGACAGGATGGCCTTCCTCTCTGAAACAAAGTGAAACTGTAACACTGACTTCTTAAATGAGGAACACATGAAAAAG